AACCAGCCACAATTGACATGCCTCCAATTTTGTTGAAAAGGTCAACGTTTTGGGTCGAATCAGGGTAACGATTGACGCGGTCACCAGACATCCTGACTCTGGCAGTCGTCGGCACTGAGATAATGAAAAATGACACAGGAGTACATAGACCTCTCTCTCTCTCATAAGCCCCGAGCATTTCCTTAAAGAAGCAAAATACCGATTCCTAGAAGCAAATTGCCAGACAGGAACTATGAGGGGAGGGAAATAAGGAAATTCGCCAGACGGCCGGTTAAGCAACGGAGAAAATTTAAGAAGGGAAAAAAGACATGGCATCGTGTTACGGCAAAGTTATGTTTCAGTGAGAGATTGTGATGAATAGGACAGAAGCGTGACTAGAATAAAAAAAATAACGATAAGGTTAACAGTAATGTTATTAGGAGAAGAAAGAAAAAAGAAGAGGCGGAGGAGAGGAGAAGGGGGAGAGGGAATAGAAGCAATCATACAGATCCGGAAGGGCTGGTAGCTTAGCCCACTGTTGAATATTTTAAAACCTCTCGGGATATGATCAAATGAACCTCAGAACCGGATGTGATCTATTCGCCCAGTCTCTTCGGTACTCTTCAGTTTCAAGGATACCCTCCTCCAGCACATTTTGCCTTCCACAATGGAAGCAGACAACGCGTACGCACTCCCCGTCCACATCACCGACGAGTGTTGGAGGTGATATCGCCCTGACGAGAAAAATGTGTGCTGCTTAATGTCGCCTAGTCGTTTCGAAGACGCGACTGTAATTTAAACTGCACAGAGGACCTCCGTGGGGGGGGGGGTGAGGCAAGGCTAAGGAAGCTGGACCTGCAGTGCTGAGCCGTGCTGATTGTAGATGCAGTCTAACTAGCAGTACGTGTAGGCTAATTTGGGGTCATAATATTGAGTGATAGAAAGACTGCCTAGAGCCATACAGTGGAGTACAGTGGGCTGGTTAGACGGTAATAATGAAGAAGTCAAGGGCTTGTTCGCTCTGTTAATACCTAACTCCATAGGCTCCACACGGGCAACAGAATCGTCTCAGCTAATGCTACATCCTCCGACCGACGAAAAAAATCGCACCAGAAGCTGCGGCTGGCACAAACGCTTGAAAAACAGAAGAAATCCAGGAATACGCGGTTCTGGTGAAATAAGGAACCTACTCAAGG